TCCACCCTTTCTTCCACCCACCCACCCTTTCTTCCATCCATCCATCCTTCCTTTCTTCCATCCATCCATCCATCCATCCATCTTTTCTTCCATCCTTCCATCAATCCATCCTTTCATCCATCCTTCCTTCCATCCATCCATCCATCCATCCTTTTTTCCACCCACCCACCCATTCTTACATCCATCCATCATTCCTTCCTTTTATCCATCCATCCATCCATCCATCATTCCTTCCTTTCATTCGCCCATCCATCCTTCCATCCTTTCTTCCACCCACCTATCCTTTCTCCACCCACCCATCCTTTCTTTCTTCCACCCACCCACCCGTCCTTTCTTTCTTCCATCCATCCATCCTTTCTTCCATCCATCCTTCCTTTCATTGATCCATCCATCATTCCTTCCTTTCATTCACCCATCCTTCCATCCTTTCTTCCACCCACCCACCCATCCTTTCTTCCATCCATCCATCCTTTCTTCCATCCATCCATCCATCATTCCTTCCTTTTATCCATCCATCCATCCATCATTCCTTCCTTTCATTCGCCCATCCATCCTTCCATCCACCCACCTATCCTTTCTTCCATCCATCCACCCATCCTTTCTTTCTTCCACCCACCCACCCATCCTTTCTTCCATCCATCCATCCTTCCTTTCATCGATCCATCCATCATTCCTTCCTTTCATTCACCCATCCTTCCATCCTTTCTTCCACCCACCTATCCTTTCTTCCATCCATCCATCATTCCTTCCTTTTATCCATCCATCCATCCATCATTCCTTCCTTTCATTCGCCCATCCATCCTTCCATTCTTTCTTCCACCCACCTATCCTTTCTTCCATCCATCCATCCATCCTTTCTTTCTTCCACCCACCCACCCATCCACCTATCCTTTCTTCCATCCATCCATCCATTCAACCGTCCATCCGTTCTTCCATCCATCCTTGCTTTCATTGATCCATCCATCATTCCTTCCTTTCATTCACCCATCCTTCCATCCTTTCTTCCACCCACCCTTTCTTCCTTCCATCCATCCATCCTTTCTTCCATCCATCCATCCTTCCTTTTATCCATCCATCCATCATTCCTTCCTTTCATTCGCCCATCCATCCTTCCATCCTTTCTTCCACCCACCCACCCATCCTTTCTTCCATCCATCCATCCTTTCTTCCTTCCATCCATCCCTCCCTCGTTTCCTTCCATCTATCCTTCCTTCCTTCATTCCATTCAGCTTTAAAGATATCGGAAGGTTTAAAGAGCTGGAAGGAACCCCAAAGGCTACCCAGCCCAACCCCCTTCCTGCCAGCCAGGAAGACCATTAGGAGATGGGGTAGCCCTACATGGCCTTTGTGGACCCCCTTCCATCTCTTCAGACCCCAAATGCAAAATGTAGCTCTCTTCCCGACAGGCCGGAAGACCTCAGTGCTCCTCTATGTGGGGAGAGGGTCCACGGGCCGCTGGGCGCCCCCCTTTCCCTGCCCTGGGTGATCAATACGCCTTTCTCTCTCCCTCTCTCGGAGCGCCTCTCCTGCTGCCAAGCTTCTCTTTTTAAGGAGTGTATTAATTACGCCGTCGATATCTGTCTGTTTCATTAGTGTATTAAATACCCCGGTCGATAATATTTATACTGCTCGGAGGGAAGAAGGGGGGGGGGGGAGAGAAAGGGATTTCGAGAAAGGCAACGTGAAAGGACCCCCCCCTCCCTCCCGGGGTGGAAAAAAGGGGGCCACAAAGGCAGCCAGACAGGAAGCAGACGGGGGTCTGTCTGGGTCTCGCAACAACAAAGGCTTCAAGGGGATCCCAGGGACGTTTCGGAAGGAAGAGAAGCCCCCCCCCCCCCAATTGGCTAAGGAAAAGGCCCCACAGCAAAGCTGGCAAAGCCTTTGGACGGAGACTAACGACTCCAGGACTTAATGAGCCGCTAATTAGGACATGTGGCGGGACCGGTCCCTCTGGACGGGGAAAAGGAAGGGAGACCGTGACCCTTTCACCACCACCACCACCATCAGTAGTAGTAATAGTAATATTAAGTAATAATACTAAGTCATAATAGCAACAATAAGACTAATAATAGTAATTATTCTAGTAATAATAATAGTAATAAGTGGTATTTATAGTACTTCTAATGCTAAGTATTGATAGTAATGATAAATATATAATAAATAAATAATAGTATTAATAAGTGGTATTTATAATACTAAGTACTTCTAATGCTAAGTATTGATAGTAATGATAAATAAATATATAATAAATAAATAATAGTATTAATAAGTGGTATTTATAATACCAAGTACTTCTAATGCTAATTATTGATAGTAATAATAAATAAATATATAATAAATAAATAAATAATAGTTTTAATAAGTGGTATTTATAATACCAAGTACTACTAATGCTAAGTATTGATAGTAATAATAAATAAATATATAATAAATAAATAAATAAATAATAGTTTTAATAAGTGGTATTTATAATACCAAGTACTTCTAATGCCAAGTATTGATAGTAATAATAAATAAATATATAATAAATAAATAATAGTATTATACTAAGTATTGATAGTAATAATAAATAAATATATAATAAATAAATAAATAATAGTTTTAATAAGTGGTATTTATAATACCAAGTACTACTAATGCCAAGTATTGATAGTAATAATAAATAAATATATAATAAATAAATAATAGTATTAATAATCGGTATTTATAATACTAAGTACTACTAATGCTAAGTATTGATAGTAATAATAAATATATAATAGTAATAATATATAATAATAAACAATACTAATAGTACTAATATTACTAATAATGGGCTGGGAAGAGGGTTCTGGATGTATTCCTTCTGGATGGGGAAAGGGAAGGGAAACCATGGCCCTTTCATCATCACCATCATCATCATCAATATCAATAACAATGATAATAGTAATAATAACTCATAACAACATCATCACCGTCAGTTGCAGTAGTAATAGTAATAATACTAAGTCATAATCACAACAATAATAAAACTAATAATAGTCATTATTGTAGTAATAATAACAGTATTAATAAGTGGTATTTACTAATACTAAGTAGTAGTAGTAATGATAATAATAGTAATAATACTAAGTCATAATAGCAACAGCAGTAAGACTAATAATAGTCATTATTGTAGTAATAATAGTATTAATAAGTGCTATTTACTAATACTAAGTAGCAATAGTAATGATAATAATAATAGTAATAATACGAAGTCATAATAGCAAGAGTCGTAAGACCAATAATAGTAATTGTTGCAGTAAGAATAGTATTGATAAATGGCATTTACTTATATTAAGTAGCAACAATAATGATGATAATAATAGTAATAATAATATGTCATAATAACAAGAGTCGTAAGGCCAGTAATAGTAATTATTGTATTGATAAGTGGCATTTGCTAATATTAAGTAGCAATAGTAATGATAATAATAATAGTAATAATACTAAGTCATAATAGCAAGAGTCGTAAGACTAATAATAGTAATTATTGTAGTATTGATAAGTGGTATTTATTAATACTAAGCAGCAATAGTAATGATAATAGTAATAGTAATAATACTAAGTCATAATAGCAAGAGTCGTAAGACTAATAGTAATTATTGTAGTATTGATAAGTGGTATTTACTAATACTAAGCAGCAATAGTAATGATAATAATAGTAATAGTAATAATACTAAGTCATAATAGCAAGAGTCGTAAGACTAATAATAGTGATTATTGTAGTATTGATAAGTGGTATTTACTAATACTAAGCAGCAATAGTAATGATAATAATAGTAATACTAAATCATAATAGCAAGAGTCGTATGACCAATAATAGTCATTATTGTATTGATAAGTGGTATTTACGAATACTAAGCAGCAATAGTAATGATAATAATAATATTAATAATAATAAGTCTTAATAGTAATGGTAATGATAATAATAATAGTAATAATGCTAAGTCATAATAGCAAGAGTTGTAAGACCAATAATAGTAATTATTGTAGTATTGATAAGTGGTATTTACTAATACTAAGCAGCAATAGTAATGATAGTAATAATACTAAGTCATAATAGCAAGAGTCGTCAAGACCAATAATAGTAATTATTGTATTGATAAGTGGTATTTGCTAATATTAAGTAGCAACAGTAATGATAATAATAGTAATAATGCTAAGTCATAATAGCAAGTCGTAAGACCAATAATAGTAATTATTGTATTGATAAGTGGTATTTACGAATACTAAGGAGCGATAGTAATGATAATAGTAATAATACTAAGTCATAATAGCAAGAGTCGTAAGACCAATAACAGTAATTATTGAAGTGAAAATAGTATTGATAAACAGTATTTACTAATATTAAGTAGCAATAGTAGTGAAAATAATAGTAATAATAGTGTTGATAAATGGTATTTACTAATACTAAGCAGCAATAGTAATGATAATAATAGTAATAATACTAAAACATAATAGCAACAGCAATAAGACCAATAATAGTAATTATTGTTGTAAGAATAGTATTGATAAAAGGTATTTACTAATATTAAGTAGCAATAGTAATTATAATAATAGTAATAATACTAATAGTATTGATAAATGATATTTACTAATATTAAGTAGCAATAGTAATGATACTAAGTCATAATAGCAAGAGTCGTAAGACTAATAATAGTAATTATTGTAGTATTGATAAGTGGTATTTACTAATATTAAGTAACAATAGTAATGATAGTAATAATACTGAGTCATAATAGGAAGAGTTGTAAGACTAATAATAGTAGTTATTGTAGTATTGATAAGTGGTATTTACTAATAGTAATGCTAGAGGCGGGTCAAGGCTTGGCCCGTTGTCCTTGGGTCAAGAGGGCCAAGGGGTCAAGAACCAGAGGCAATTTCCTATTGGAGGCGGCTTTCCTTGCAAGTGAAAACGCTCTTACGGGAAAACTAATTAATTGCTTTCTGGTAATGAAAGAAAAAATAAACTCTGAGAAGCGACTGAAGAGCGTTTTATTGAGAGCGGAGAGCGAGCGAGCGAGCCAATTTGGGAAGGGAAATTCGCTCGCCTGCCAAGGCCGGAACCAACGACGGCAACAAAACTATGGACAGGTAGCGCCAAAAAAAAAACCCCCAAAACCCGGCATTAATTGAAGTGAGAGAGGGAGGAAATAATCAACGCCGGGGTGTGCTTTGTAGTTGCCCCGATGTCCCCCGGGGAGTGCCGCGCCGACGCTTATCGTCCGCTCTCAGAAGAGACAATTTTGATTAATATCAGGCCCATCTGAGTCAGCCTATTAAACCCCCGAAGGAAGGAGATTCTTCAGATGGAAGAGATACGGGCCTTTGATTAATAATTCCAACATATTGCCATTCCGAGCGTCAACCGAGCGAGCGGCCGAAAGGAGCCTTTGAAGGCAACGGGGAAAGGAACAGAGAGACGGAGAGAGAGAGAGAGAGAGAGAGAGAGAGAGCCAATTGAAACCAATCCAATCCAATTGCCTTCATTGGGTTGTTGTTGTTGTTGTTTCTCCCCCGACCCTGGACCTTGCTCTCAGCGCAACCGCTCGGCGTTGCTCCGGATGGTCTGCAACAGGCGGTAGCCGTGCTCCCGGTGGTTGACCGGCTTCACCTCCAGCGCCGTCGTCTTCAGACGTGATTCGTCCTTTGGAGAGAGACACACACAGAGAGAAGCGTGACGCAGCGGCAGAAAAGGCCAAGGCGATCCCAAGCTCAGTCTACAGGAGTGCTGGGTTCAGGTGGAGGGAAGTCACCCCAATCCATAGGGATGCACAGTCTAGGTCAGGGGTCCTCAAACTTTGTAAACAGAGGGCCAGGTCACAGTCCCTCAAACTGGTCCCTCAAACTGGTGGAAGGCCGGATTTTATATTAGTATTTCAGTGGGAAGTGTGGGAGTGCTTTTGGCTGATGAGATAGGATTGTTGTTGTTGTTGTTGTTGTTGTGTGCGAGGGCCAGGTAAATGACCTTGGAGGGCCGTATCCGGCCCTCGGGTCTTAGTTTGAGGACCCCTGGTCTAGGTGAAGTGAGGTGATATCACCTATGACTTGTCAATAATATATACAAGCTGGACAGGTGTCAAGAGTGTGATGCAGCAGCAGAAAAGGCCAAGGCGATCCCAAGTGCAATCTCTAATATCAGCTTGGCATGACAATAGTAATGTATGTGTGTGTGTGTGCACATATATATATATACACACACACACATATATACACACACATATATACACATACATATACACAAACACACACACATATATATAAAGCTGGACAGGAGTCAAGAGTGTGATGCAGCAGCGGAAAAGGCCAATGTGATCCCAAACTCAATCTCTAATATTAGCTATGGCGTGACCACACACACAGACTAGCTGTCCCCTGCCACG